AATGTGGAATAAAACTCAAAATCATAAAATTAAAAATAAAGGTGGGGGGGAAACCAAGTTTGCTGGTCTGATAGAGCCTGGTGGAACCCCTGAGACTATGGCTCCTAGCTGCCCTTCAGGTCTGGAATTAAACCACTCCTGTGGGTTCCAGCCAAACAAATGACAGGCATATGAGCTGAACATTTACATCAGGTAGATACACTTCTTGGAGAGATCGGTCATGGGAGAATGAAGGGCTGTGTATGCACAGAGAGACAGCTCAGGGGGCAGGAGTGCATGGAGGGAAGGACACAGGAAAGAGGTAACTATAGGGAGGAAGTGGGACGAGAGCTGTTGCATTGTGGGAAACTGTAGTCAACGTCATGAGACAAAGTGTCTGTGATATGCTGTATGGAAGATGAATTTGCTCAGTAAACTTTCACCCAAATCACAATAAAAACTAAAAAAAAAAAAGTTGACTCTGGACCCAACCTCTCTAGGCTTGAATCCTAGCTCTGCCACTTAATTATCAGCTGCCTGACCTTGGGGAGGAAGGAGCCTCTCTGTACCTGCTTCCACACCTGTAAAATAGGGGTAATAAATGCACTGCCACTTCCGTAAAATAAGGATAATAGTACCTGCCTGTTGTGTGTGATTAATGAAGTCACATACGAATGGCATTTCCATCAAGGAGAAAATGCTCAGTGTTAGCTGTCCACACAACCTTCTCCCCCAGCGCTTCTACCCCCAGCAAGCCACAGAAGCTGCTCTTAGCAGGGTCATCAACAAGACCCTTTTTGCCTAATCCACTGGTCATGTCTCTCTGCGCTCAAACAATCCAGCCTCTTGGCAGCATTTAAGCAGTGGGTACTCCTCTTCCCCAAGCCCTCTTCACTCCCAGGATGCCACACTCTCCTATTCTTTTCCCTCCCACTTCTCCAACTGGTTCTGCCCTGCCTTCTTTGCTGGAGGCTCTACTTGTTCATTTAAGAATGCCTCCGGGCCAAGTCCTCCATCTACACTCTCACTCCAGGGCAGGGTTTCCCAGGCTCAGTAGTGTTGACGTCTGGGGCCAGATGATTCTCTGTGGTAGGGAGCTGCCCTGTACACTGCAAGATGCTTATTTACCAAGTAGGTCCCAGTAGCACCCACCTACACACAAGTTGTAACAACCAAAAATGTCTCCAGACATGGCCAAAGGTCCCCACTCTAGGACGTGGCATCTAGTGATTCATCTAGTCCATCGAATACCACTTCTCTACCAATGACTCCATTCTATTCCGTTTTGACTGCTCCGCTGAGCTCAGACTCCACTCGGAAGTCAGATGGGCATCTCAGATATAACATGGCCAAAGGAGAACTTTTTTTTTTTTTTT